GGCCACGCCCCAAAATTTTGCTAACCGCTTGCAGAAAAGCGCGAGTTTGGGACCGCCTGCTCCCGGCAATTATCTGAGTAGCCGTATAGGCGACGCCAGTTAAAAGAATCGTTCCAAATTGCTAGCGTCCCGATGGTTCGAATAGTGCTTATAAGTAAACCGTCTCCGAAAAACCTTAAGCGGTACACGAGCAAAAATATTAGTTTAGACGAACTTCTATGATCAGTAAAGGTACAAAAGTTCAAAAGCTTTGAAAGTGACAGAGCTAGGGAGCAATTTGACTACGCTCTATATAATGTAGTCCTGTCATGCTTTGTATATTGTGACATACTTACGTCAAGCGAAGAAGTCCCAGAAATTAAGGTGGAGGGAAAGCGCTTTTTCGCATCTGCGTATCAAGGCAGAAAATCTTGATTTGGCGCTTTTAAGTAGATTTTCATTACAGTATTCTGCAAGACAGAGAAAAAGGTCGCAAGAAAGAATACAGTCAAAAGAGTCCGCAATGCAGGGTCAGGTCCAGTATAAAGGAAACGAAGTGGTAAGCCATCCAAGAACTTACATTTTATCAATCAAGTAATGACTTTTATTTTGAAAGGTAACGTAAGACTGTAAGTTTGTAGGTAGTGGCTTAAAAACCAGAATTTTTGATATGGGCATTTACAAAATTGTTACATTGAGTTGACAAAAGTTTCATGCCGCAGAGTGAGCGCAAAAAGAGGGCGAAACATTGATGAATAGAGCAAAGTGACTTTACAATTTTCCTAATCATCCGCAGTATTTTTTATTCGTTTAGTTCAAAGCCAGTCTTGAAGCATTTTTACCCCAAAAGATTTCTTTCAAAAGTCCTATGAACTTTCCATTTTGTCATCAAAAACTTCACACTTGGTAACACATGAAATGCAGTTGTTGGATTTTTTCGCAGATTAGCATCTATAGAGAAAAGAATAGACTATTTGGTCATACTAATTTAACATTTTATACATTGGAATGGAAGGAGCTATCATGTGCCAACGCAGCATGGACATAAAAAGAATGGGGTAGTATTTGATAAGCGTAAATATGTTACCACATACCTATTTTTTTCAATGATTTTGATTAAACCCAGAATTAGCATTATGGCTAGTTGCAATAAACCCGCAATTATTCCTATATGCTGAGATCTTGGCCATGGTAAACGGAGATTTTATACGATTGAAAGCTGCACTCTATTAGGCAGAATTTCGAGCTCACACTTCTGGGGATGCGTCTTCGCTTGAACAGCTATAATGCCTTCAAATTCTGATTCCAAACTCTAGGTGGTTCAGGATTCATGCATATGGGTGCATCGTAGAGCTCGCTTCATTACCGACTGTACTCATTAGTTTTGCGGTGTTCACTCTGTCACGTTAGCATGCGGTGCGACAGACTTTCCACCAACCTTAGACCTTCCATCCGATTGTAAACAAATCAAATATTTGCTCTAGTTGGAGTGGATATGAAGTGATAGGAAGATAGTAGCTTGCAAAGTGGATTGATACAGGTAGAAAAATGGGTGATGCGAGCACTGGATACGGGAGTGGATGCGCTGCGAGCTGAATACAGGTCCCTAGCCAGATACACATTGCCGTCAGTGACGTATCAAGCTTTTGTAACAAATCATCCTGCTGGTAGAAACAGGTCGGCCATAATTTACTTTGGAAAAGTGCAAGGCGGAGAAACGTGGCTATATATATTGAATTTAACAGGTACCAGGACGTACCTTGTCAAGATCAGCATCGTGTTGTGATTAATTGGCCAGGAGCTCCTTCCGATTATATTCATGCAAATTATATTGGAACACCAAAATCAGAAAAAAGGTTTATTTGCACACAAGTACGTCGACGTTGTTTCTACTTCATTATTGTTATCCATTGTCACATGCATTCCTCAGCCTAATATGCCATACAAGGTGAGGTGAAGTTAGACCGTTAAGGTAAAAGATAAGAGAAACTTTGTTTATGCGTTGTTGAGATTTTTGCGCGAAAGTTTGAAACACTGGTCCCCGATGTGTGGGTTATACAATAGGAGAGTGATGTAATGATTATGGTCCCTTGAAGTACGTAGTCTAGAAGTTTTTTTTCATATATCACGAAGCTTTGATCGTTTCGCATTAAAAATCAGTAGAATGCTGCCATGCCGGCGTTCGCCTGGGTATACAGTCTAGTAATCCCACTGATTATTCGCAACACCAATAACTATGATAAAGATAGAGATCTCCTAATTTCAAAGAACATTTCACTATTCCTGTCCCACTTCTAATGCCACTTGCTTGCCCCCACTATTTCTTAATCAGCATTCTCACATATTTCCTCCTTTGTCAACTCCTAACTGGCCGCTCGAAGTTCGCGAAAAATTGATGACACCGATGAAAAGTAGCTGTTTTTCCCGTAATCAGGCTGGTTTATTCCTCCACCTGTGCCAGCTCTCAACTCGCAGTTAAAGGTTCCAAGAAATCGATGACCTCGATATCGATCAATGAGAAAGTACCTCCATGACATTTGTCTTGCCCAAAGTGCATGTGTTCCAAGTTTGGTCCAGATCGGTAAATGGAACTTTTAAGGAGCATACGTACAACTTTCAAGGAGCAGACGTACAGACATGCAATACCGTTCCGAAGCCTAGCCGTGGCTTGCCGTGCGAGCGCCACGTGGCCAAGCGCTTGTTTAAGTAGGAACAGCTATAGTAAAATCGTGCTTAGTGACATATAAGGCGCGCCGCACATGCTTCATG